ATTTTGGTGGGTCCAGTTTAACAAACCAAAGTCAATACCACTAGCTTCAGAAAAGATCTTTACCTGCCCGAGCCTTTGTATTAATGGGTTTGAAAACAGTAATAATTCAAAATGTTCTCATTCATTTTAAGTATTTATACACTGTACTTATAATATAAAAGTCAAAAAAGGCTTACAATATAAAAAAATAAAAATAATAACAGAAAAACATCTCAAGTAACAGAATAAATCATAAACAGTTCACTGTTACTTCAATAGCCGAACCAAAAAAGCAAGTTTTACAACCGTTTTTAAAATAGGAGGAAGAAAAATTTCTCATCTCCAAAGGGAAATGCTTTCAGCCTGCACTTGTGAAGGCTTTGACAGATGACTGAATTACACCCTATGAATCAAACCGATGTTAAGGAGAATGTATATTCCTTGTGATAAATCTGCTTTCTCCCCCTCCCATAACAGGATTTACTCAGAAATGTGCTCTTCAGAAACCATAGTTGCAAACTAAATGTTTACCTTCCTGTTACGAACGGTAAATTACTAATTGCAAAACAGAACAGATTAAAACAGCTCAAAGAAAGTAGCAGTGGGGAGGGGAAGAATTCGCCCTTCAGAGCAGTTTGTCATAAAGATAAAGGAGAAAATGTAGGAAAGGGATTTAACAATGACTGAATCTATGAATCATAGAATCATAGAGTTGGAAGAGACCTCATGGGCCATCCAGTCCAACCCCCTGCTTAGAAGCAGGAAAATTGTAATGAAAGGACCCTCAGAAGATGGCCATCCAGCCTCTGTTTAAAAGCCTCCAAAGAAGGAACCTCCACCACACTCTGGGGCAGAGAGTTCCACTGCTGAACAGCTCTCACAGTCAGGAAGTTCTTCTTAATGCTCAGATGGAATCTCCTTTCCTGTAGTCTGAAGCCATTGTACAGTGTCCTAGTCTCCAGGGCAGCAGAAAACAAGCCTGCTCCCTTCTCCCCATGACTCCCCCTCACATATTTATACATGGTTATCATGTCTCCTCTTAGCCTCTATGCATATAGTCTATTCCTCATTGTGAAAAGCCATGTGGATATAGATCTCTACAGTTACTTACGGACCCCCTGCCAATACTCTCCCTTTAGAAGACAATTGTACTCGGCCACGAGTGATTGCCTATAATGATGATGCATAATATTGTAGTAGTTGTTGTATGCCTCCAAGCTAGTTCTACACTGAATACATATGGGTTTACATTGACCACATAATGCAGTTATATGGTTGTGTAGATCCAGCCTAAACTTTCCAAGTTCTTTGCCACTCCTGGTAATCCACTCCTTTTAGTTGGAAAGGTCAGGACTACTGCCATGGGATATGCTTCTGAAGGAAGACATACAGAGGAAAACTGTCTTCACATTTCACACTTTGGTGATTAATGTCCAGAAATTATCTCCATAGGACTATTGAAAATGGACCCCAAAAATGAGGAATGGATGAATTGCCTCTCTAGGTCCCACTCTATCCTTTTTCCCAAATGTAAAAAACACACATGGAGGCTTCCCTCAGGAGGTGTTGGAAAATGTGAATCTCCATAACCATTTGGGAAATAGGATTCATCACCTTTTTGGAAAACCACTGGTCAAAGAAAGGCATGACCTTGTTAGAAGTCACAACCTTTTGAAAAGTGATGTTCACCAGCATTCAAGCAATGCAGCTAAGTCTCTCTGTTAAACCAATGTACCTAGGTATGTCATTGAGCTGCTAGGGACAAAAACATGCCAATGCACAAAAACATATATATTCAGCAGAGTTTCAGAAATGTTCCTTTTGTTACCCCAAAACATCTACTCTCCCTTAAAACACATTTGCCTTTAAATCATGCTCTCGGGGGACAAAATAACGTCTTCTTTAAAGTAACAGAGTTGGTTTACTTACAAACTTCATGTGTACAGCATACAGGTACTTTGCTTATGAATCCGGTTACAATAGGATTTTAAGTAGTTCCTCTGTGTAGGTAGCACAGGGAAACTTCCTTAGAAACAATGGTCCATAGTTCAAAGTATCTCTGTTTTGAGAACCCAATAATTTCTACTCTCTCTAAGAGTCTAATGCAGGGGTCCTCAAACTTTTTAAACAGAGGGCCAGGTCACAGTCCCTCAAACTGTTGGTGGACTGGATTATAATTTGAAAAAACATGAATGAATGCATATGCACACTGCACATATCTTATTTGCAGTGCAAAAAAACAACACTTTAAAACAATACAATAATTAAAATGAAGAACATTTTTAACAAATATAAACTTATTAGTATTTCAATGGGAAGTGTGGGCCTTCTTTTGGCTGATGAGATAAGATTGTTGTTGTTGTTGTTGTGTGTTTTCAAGTCATTTCAGACTTAGGTTGACTCTGAGCAAGGGCCGGGTAAATAACCTTGGAGGGCTGTATCCAGCCCCTGGGTCTTAGTTTGAGGACCCTTGGTCTAATGGCTTTTACAAACTAAAATGGAGTCTTAGATCTGAACATGCCCAGTTCTGATCACATGGTTTGCAGCCCCTCCCACAACAAAGAAGTTAGGTAAAATTGGAAATAAATACACATATAAAATACAGCAAGCAATTATATACGTAAGAAACAACTAGTGGAGGCGTGAGAAGATTGCTGTTTCCAACAGGGGTGTGGCCCCAAGTTTGCATAAGCACCACCCATTTCTCCATACTTGCACCATCACTATAAATAGGAATTGGTCTCAGCTGGTTCTTCCTGTGTCACAAAGGGTTCATGCCCAGCAGGAGTCAAAAAACCTATATAACCACCTCTTTGCCCCTTTGTCTTATCTGTGGAACCCTTCAGAGCACCTAAACAGCTATTGTCCCTAAATCCCAGAACCCATCAGGATGCCTTGGAATACCATTATCCCAGACTGTGTCCTTGGGTAAAATCCTCTCAGGCAGCATTATCTCCCAGTCATGCCCAAATTCCAATTCCAGACCCTCTCAGGGAGGCAGAAACAGCAGGGAACAGACAACTTCATTTTCAAACAAGGACAGTTTATTGACATTCCTTCCAGACTGATCAGCCAATCATCAACTAAGATTCACAGACCTTAAAACTTTTAGCCAATTTGCAGCCAGGTACGGCTGAGCCTCTGCACCCAGTGAAACTACAAATCCCGAGAACTTCATCAATCAGTTCTGACCTTCATATTTTCAAATGTGTGTAATTTTTCTACAAAATTTGGGACTGCCCCAGGTGTCCACACATTGATTTATTTCCTGTCTTTCACACCTGGTGTGTGTGTTTCATTGCGTTGATTGGGGTCAACTACACACCAGGAAAGAACCTGGAATTTCAGACAACAACAGAAATTGCATAATACTTCTCCATGCTTAATTGATTATTTGTGTATGAAGCAGGACTGTTTTGATTTTGGTACGTTAACCAAAAAATACCGAGCTCATTATGAAATCATAATAATAATGATTTTTAAATCCCATGAGAGAAGAAGCATTTAAATCCAGAGTGCCTTTGTCTCTGACAGCAGTTGCAAGCCATTTTGTAAAATACGTACATTTTTCCCTAAATGCAACACAGTATTCATTGTAAGGAGTTACTTGATTTCAGTAGAAGATATATAGTCACAGGTGACCAAATGTAATTGATATTGTACAGTAGAGTCTCACTTATCCAACATAAATGGGCTGGTAGAACGTTGGATAAGCGAAAATGTTGGATAATAAGGAGGGATTAAGGAAAACCCTATTAAATGTCAAATTACATTATGATTTTACAAATGAAGTACCAAAACACCATGTTTTACAACAAATCATCAGAAAAAGCTGCTTGATACATGGTAACATTATGTAGTAATTACTGTATTTACGAATTTAGCACCAAAACATTGCAATGTATTGAAACAGCTGTGGATGCGAGCAGGAGGCAGACTGCGTTGAATAATGCAGAACACTGGATGAGCAAAGGTTAGAAAAGTGAGACTCTACTGAATATATGGCAATCAGGTTTTAAATCATGCTTTGAATAATGCCAAGAGTTGACAATTGTACGTAGAGAAGCTATCTAGATCAATAATATGAACTGGTCATATACAGTCCCATCTACACTGCTGTATGATGCACTTTGAAACTGCATTTTATGATCACAATAGACTCATAATGGAAGTTATAGTTTGTGAGACACCAATACTCTTTGGCAGAGAAGGTTAAACTGCACTATATGAGTCTACACTGAGCATATAATAAAATTTCAAACTGCATTATATGACAGTGTTGATGGAGTCCTAGTGGCTATGCAATAATGAAGGCTAAACAGCTGAAGGAATTCACTGTAGCCTTTGCAATGAGTGAATTTTCTACTTTTCTGTTTATGACACTGGGATATTGGTGCTAAATCTCTGTTTTCTAACTAATCTTAATTTCAGGCTGTATGTTAAATTGTTTAATATCTTGTTTTTCATATTATGGGGAGAAGAAATATTTAAAAATAAATAACACTCTAAAATTCATTAAAGGTAACAACTAGCACAAAACATTTTCTCAGTTCTTTCAGTAGTACATTTCTGAGTACAATCTAAATAAAGAGACCATATTTCGATGGAAAGATATATCAGCTGAAGTCTCAATTTGTCCTAGGCCTCCTATGATTTCCCGGTGCTGTCCTTATTTGCCGCTGCCATGATCTTTACAATTTAGCTTCACTTTGCACTGAGAACACTCTGCTCCAAATATTTCAACTTAATTTACAACTGCCTCGTGTGTCACCTCATTCAAAAGTTGCCAAAGGGTTAACATGCATACACTCCCCTTCCCATCCCCTGTGTATGGACCAAAAGAGATGTTAGTAGCAAATTGTCCGATTGCATGAAAGCCATTAATACTAAGCATCAGACGGATTATACAAAATCCACACAGCAGCATTTTCAAAGCACAGAAAATATTCTGGGATGTTGGCAAGGAATGGGACCTCCTCTTCCCCTTATTTCTCTCCCTAGACCTCCTGCATTTCAGTTACCTGCAATTGGGATGCTGTTAGTGCACGTCCATCAAGGCAGAAGGAAAGACTTGCTCCGTCCTCCATCAGCCGTTCAATGGTGGTCGGCCAATCAGAGACAAGACATCCTGGCATCCCCTGGAATTCACTCTGGCTTCCTTGTTGCCTCTGCTGCCTCCTTTCTTTCAAGTTCTGTGCAAACAACAGGAGGGAGGGAGAGTGGGGAGGGAAGCAGGGAGAGATGCAGCAGTTTCAAGGCAAAACATGCTAGGGCCAAAATAAGAAAGGGACCGATTTCTGGATTGTGCACACAGTCCAACCAAAACTTCTTTATTTTTTAAATTATCTGTTATGAATAAATTGATAAGATTATTTTCTATATTATTTTCCCCTTCGACCATTGGAAATGAGGCAGGCATAAAATAGGCTTGTGGATAAGGAAAAGTGTGGAACTATACGTTTGGATAGATATTAATGATTTATATATATATATATATATATATATATATATATATATATATATTGCTATGGGTACATCTACTCAACAAAATAAAATCCACTGTTTTTAGTTTTACAGCAGAAGTCAAAATAATAGGCATGTGTATGAGCATCAACTAGAAGCACTACAAAATAGACTTAAATGTTTATTTGTTTACTAGCCATCCCCTGCCACGCATTGCTGCGGCCCAGTCTCTGTACATGTGTTTTGTATGTGTGTATATGTTTGTGTATATATTTGTGTATATATGTGGCTTTGCACATGCGTTCTAATGTATTTTTTATTTTTTTATTTATTTGGCTTTTTTAGTCTCTTCCACTGTGTTTTCTGGTGTTTTATGAGTGATGGTCACTTGTTGACCTGATAGATGTATTGTGCCCAAATTTGGTGTCAATTCACCCAGTGGTTTTGGAGTTATGTTAATACCACAAACGAACATTACATTTTTATTTATATAGATTTTGTTTCAAGCATTTGTACCCCATCCTTCTCACCCCCACATCCTTATGCATTTTTAATGGGAGCATGTGAGGGTGATCTGGCTGCGACATCTGTCACCCCATTGATCGCCAGGTTTGATTCAGCTGATCTGGCTGGCTAGGCGGGTGTCCCCTTCCTCCCTCACCGCTCCATGTGTGTCCCTCCCGAATCTGCGTGCTCAGTGGAAGAGGACGACGTCCCAGGTATAGAAGGAGTGTTCCAAGGTCTCCAGTCTTCGGTCCCGGATATACGATAGCTGCACTCCCCTGCTAGAAACGCCAAACAAGCTCAAGGTCCATTTGTAGGAGAATTCTATACAAAAGCCTTTATTTTGCCATTTAACAGTTACAATTTTACTGTGTCATTGTTGTATGTAATGAAACTTTAACATCCATGGTTTTTGCTATCCTTGGAGAGTCTTGGAACCGAACTCCAGTGAAAAGGGTCTCATTGTATAACCAAGATCCTTCTCTTTCTGGCTCTGAATTCAGGATCCCTCTCAAGGATCTGTTACTTGGGACTCAATGATATTACTACTGTTAATAAGTAGCTATGTTGATCAGTGAGTTATATATAGTAAAATGTGACCAGTTTTCCATATCAGCAATTACCTGAAATCAGTCAGACATATTTGTAAAAAAGAAAACGAGTAAAGATTTATTAAATGCAATTAAATTAATCTCTGAAGTTCTTCCACATTTTCAGCTCCCCAAACTCCAATGTCTCCATTTTGTCTCTTACATTCATAACTCTAGTTTACTATATCATTGTATTGTCGAAGACTGTCATGGCTGGAATCACTGGGTTGTTGTATGTTTTTGGGCTATGTGGCCATGTTCTAGAAGCATTCTCTCATGACCTTTCACCTGCATCTATGGCAAGCATCCTCAGAGGTTCTGAGGTCATTATATATCATTATTTCTCCCTTTAACAGCATCTAAGTTATATATGTTTTCCATGTTGCACCCATGCCACCCCTCTTCACAGCATTGCCTAACCAGATTCACTCAGCTTCTGTCTTCTCATTCAGTAACACAAATGGCTCAAACCTGTGTGTATATATACAATTTTGAACCATTTGTGTCAGTTCAATCCATGATGCCATCAAAATATCTGTCAGTGGAGAAATTTCATAGATCTACTGAAACAATAGCATGAGTGTTGCTTTACCAATTTCTCATTGGTCTTCTCCCATCAGAATCAACTATTGCAATGCCATCTAGTCATCAGATCTGACATAGTCAGAGGGTGACATCTAGTGAGCTACTTAAGAAATGACTAAACCATTTATTTCACTGGATTATGAAGGAAGGAATTGGCAAATCACCTCTGAGTGTTCCTTGCCTAAGATAACTTTTTGGAATTCAGATGATCACTATGTTAACAAGCAACTGGAAGGCTCATACACATAGAGAGCAATTTTGCCAGCTTTTGGGGGATGTGTGTCAAAGTGGCTTAAGACATCCACTGATAAGCTCATGTTTTCAGCAATTCATGGTGACAGGGAAGATGGAAGAGATTAGGCTGGCTAGGGTCCTGCTTTAAAGAGGACAGTCCTGAAGGTCTACCAGAGGGCAGTTCTCCTTTTGAAGATGTCCTCAAGTTTTGAATGACTCTCTAGTCTGAATCTGGGAGAGCAGGGTCACCAGATTTTGTCCAATAACAACTATCACCTGAATGACAGCGTGAATAGCTAGGCAGGTTACCCTGTCATAGTTTTCACTATGCTGGAGAAATATATTGTATTTGTATCCAAATTATAGCTGAATGGACCTCCCTCACCCAATCTGCTGGGTGGTTCTTAAGGTGGACTGGGAGTGTATTCGGATGAAGAGACTATGGGCCCATCTACATGGGCCTGAAGTCACTTCTGGATATCCACAAGATGTTCAGGGACTTTCAGCCCCAGTTAACACATTTTTGTTAGTTAAATCAGGGAGTGTTCTGGAACCTCTATGAAACTTTGGAGAAAGAGGAACAGCCAGATCAGTTCCAGTTTGAACATTGCTATCTTGTTTTCCCTGCACTTGGAAAAGGGGGTAGCATTATTGTCCTTTGTGGCTGCTACAAAGGTAATTGTGGCTTTCTAGTGGGGTCCAATTGGGTACAACCCGACTAGATGATTGGTAGTCTGTCCTGTTGCCACAGTGGGATGGGAATATGTGATATAGCAGGCTCTGGGGCTAGTCCTGCACTATATAGCCTATGTAGATGGTCTATATCAGTGGTTCTCAACCTGTGGGTCCCCAACTCTCAGAAATCCCAGTTACTTTACCAGCTGTTAGGATTTCTGGGAGTTGAAGGGCAAAACATCTGGGGACCCACAGGTTGAGAGAACCACTGGTCTATATGTAGTTACATAGACATAAACAGTTGATACAAGATTCTGGCCATAGTTTTTTTGATGGTTACTTGTTGGTACATTATTGTTGTGCAAGAATGTCATATAAACCTGATTTAATTCTTTGTGTTGATCAGACTCACAGCTGAATATCAGACTATGCATTATGTTTCATCTGTCTAAATATAGGTAAAGGTAAAGATTTTCCCCTGACATTAAGTCCAGTTGTGTTTGACACTGGGGGTTTGTGCTCATTTCCATTTCTAAGCCGAAGAGCCGGCATTGTCCATAGACACCTCCAAGGTCATGTGGCTGGCATGACTGCATGGAGCACTGTTACCTTCCCACTCAAGCGGTACCTATTGATCTACTCACATTTGCATGTTTTCGAACTGCTAGGTTGGCAGAAGCTGTGGCTAACAGTGGAAGCTCACGCTGCTCCCCAGATTCAAACCTGAGACCTTTCGGTCAGGAAGCTCAGCAGCTCAGCGGTTTAACCCACTGCACCACCATGTTCTTCCCTGTGTAAATACTTAAACACACTAAGCTTCAATTTATTGAATCTAAGGCAAAATTTTCCCATAGCAGAGTCGTACATTATTGTGATGATAGATCTACTGCAAACGATACACCCAGCAATATGATAATGTACATATTTAAATAAAATACTTTTTGAAATAAATAAAAAATTGAGTTTCCATTGCTGAATTCTGAAAGAATAGCTAACCAAACTCATTAAAATATATTAGTATCTGTAACATTTTATAGACCATTAAATAAAATCTATTAAAACATAAAAACTGTCTACAAAACAGGGAAAGAACTTAAAAT